GTGAACCTCTTGGACATTATTACTATCTCTTCCAAAAGATAGCTGAATCTATACTAGAATAATGGAGACCCACAATTTTCCACTAGTATAGCTCTATAGCTGGGAACAACAGCAGAGACAGTAGCATAGACAATATTCAGACATTTTTTCCCACTGTGTTGTCTAATTCAGTGGTGGTAAAAATGCCTGTGTGTTGTCAATACTGTATCTTAACACCAATGAAACTATACCATTGGATTATTTATGAGTCACAGATTTCTAGTGTGAGCAAACTCTATGTGAGCTAAGTATAGCAAATTCAGACTCATGAATTTCTTAGGCCCCAATTCAGGAAAGTATTTTTATTCAGAACAGGACCTAAGGTTGTGCTTAACTTCAAATACATGCTTAAAGCCTATTGATTTCACTCAGACTTAAACTGTGTACTTAAATTCTTTCCTGAGCTGGGGCCTTATAGCATAATGTTGATACAGAGCTTGTTTTTTGTTTTGTTTTAAGAACGAATAAATCATTTGAAAAGGCTTCTTACAAATATCACTATTAAAAAGAGAAAAACAATCCTTTTGTATTCCCCACGCTGCAGTTAGGATAGAAAGATATTTAAATGCAAGTTACGTAATAACCAGCTAAACAGAGAGATATTCTCAGTCAGTATAAGCAATGAATGGGCAATCATCACTCTTCTTTATGGCTGGCTGGCTAAAAATATTGATTAAAAAAACCTGTTGTTATAGTCAGATCCTAATCTTGTAATACCATTATAAATGAAGTTACTCTAGATTTACACTGTTGTGACTGAGATCAGAATCTGACCTGATGTAGTTATTTATCTTATCTAGTTCTAAAAATAGCATTGCATTTCAGCATTTCAGCTGAAAGAGCAAAGAAAGAAAAAAAAATCACTGGCACCATAATTTGTCTCCCTAGATCATTTTTATGCTTGTATTTCATTTAAAAGAATAATGTGTAAATTACTTATTATCAAGAAAAGTTATTTGTTTGCACTAATCAAGCCTTAAACTTAGAGGCATAATATGAAACTAATTATTTTTTAACTAACTAATCAACATGCTTCATTCATAAGTTGGGATTTATCAATATAGCACATGAAAAGAGAGAACATATTATTATTTCAGTTTAGATAATATGCAAAAAACAGTGTGTTTGTAATGACCTGCTTTCACTGCATATAATCAAGCTGCAAAGCTCTATTACAAGCTGGAAATAGCAGCAGCTTACTTTAATGAGATTTCTGGCTCTGGGTCCCAGCTGTTCTTCGCAAGGCTCCCCCTTTGCTCTATGACCTACTGATATGTGTTGTCACAAGTAATGAGATGGGACCTATTTCGTAACATGTGGAAAAACTGAAAAGAATGTGTTCAATTGACTACTCCGGCAGATACACACCGTCTGTTCCCAAGCAAGGAAGGAAAAGGAGAACATTTAGTAGACAACATCTTTATTGGACCCCTTTCCCCAACCTATATTAAGATAACATTGAAATTGTGAGCCAGAGAATTCAGCATTAATGATGAAACTCTATTCTTAACTCATCCCTGTTGCACATAGATAATGCTGTTCACTAGGTACACACAATATATGCTCCTCCCCAATTAAGTCTCCTGACAGAGGACTAGTCTGCAAGGCATAGGGAAGAGAGTATGATTATCATCTTAGATTTAACTCTGAATTTTCTGGATTTGGTGGAATTATATTAGACTGATGACTGGGAACATGCCAGGAACCAAGTGTTTCATCTAATTTGCATAAAATAGAACAGATTGCGACTGCTTTTGTTTTAATATGGGTTTGAAGCCTGGAAATTACAGATTCCATCAAGCAGTGCTGTATATCTATCTGAGCAGCCTAGTCACTGAGCTCAAGCTAGAACACTGCATCCTGGGACCTGAAATCTCTGAAGGCTGTCCCTCTGAAACAAAACACTTGGGCTATCCTCAGGCTTTGCTATAAACTCTGTGAACTACATTTTGGTCATCCTTAATATTGTGTTTTCTGCTCTTTTTACATGAATTTCTTTATCATGTTCAAAGAAAAAATCCCTTTCCTGAAAGTGTTTGATAGTTTCAGATTTTTATTTTTTAAATATAAATGTACTTCAAGGCCAGAATGCCTCATGGACTGATTCATGCCTTTCACTCTGTTGTTTAGGGACAAGAAGCCATCATATGCCAATATTTCAAGAATCTAAACCCCAGAAAATATTCTGTTGCCCTGCATACAGTCCTCCTAAGTCAATGAACATTTTAGTCAGAGCCATGGGAAGATGTGAGGATAACTGAATTTTGGAATTAAACTACTTGCTTTTTAATTTATCTTTTCACCCTTTCAGAATGCCCACATTCACTCACCTACATTATAAACGAATGGGATATGAAATCTTACTTTGAGAAATGAAGATATTATTGAAGCTATGTCTACATTGCAATTGGAGATATTATTGCTTCCTGTAGACATACTTATGATAACTTTGACCTACCTAGCACAGCTGAAAGTAGCAGTGAGGATGTATTAGTGTGGGCATCAGTGCAGGCTAGAAATTCAAGTACCAAATGTTCTGAAGCTCATGCTACTGACTGCAGTGCAGACTACAGCCTGAGGGTATGTCTACACTACCCCGCTAGCTCGAACTAGCGGGGTAATGTAGGCATACCGCACTTGCAAATGAAGCCCGGGATTTGAATTTCCCGGGCTTCATTTGCATAAGCGGGGAGCCGTGGGCATCAGTGCAGGCTAGAAATTCAAGTACCAAATGTTCTGAAGCTCATGCTACTGACTGCAGTGCAGACTACAGCCTGAGGGTATGTCTACACTACCCCGCTAGCTCGAACTAGCGGGGTAATGTAGGCATACCGCACTTGCAAATGAAGCCCGGGATTTGAATTTCCCGGGCTTCATTTGCATAAGCGGGGAGCCG